TCTATATATATATATATATATATATATATATATATATATATATATATATATATATATATATGACTAAGTAATTAATATAGAGAGAGAGGTTAGATGCATAGGGTTCTTAATTTTTTTCGTCATCACGTTGTAAGTCCATATCAAATAGGAGTATAAAATATCGGAAGAGTTGCATGACCATGTCTAATTACAAATGAACAAAACTATAAAATTAGCTAATAATTACTCTATTATCAAAAATACCAAACCAAAGAATATTCATCAGAATAATTTTTTTATATATATTTTAAAATTGTGGATGCTCATTTAGACATGACTTGTAAATTATCACCGACGTGTGCTCCACATGCTATCTTTAGGAAAAAAAATTATTGCGGAGTTTTCGTTATCTGTTGGGAGGTAGGTATCATGTGGAATAATTGATGTATTTTAAAGTTAATTATCATAAAAAGATTTTAAAAGCAAGTTCGGTTATTTTTACGAGAAACCTCTAAAAAAAATTTATTAATCAAATATATCAATTGTTTATACCAATTAGTAATACTTATATACAAATACATAATTACTTATTTACAAGATCAAGTTTAGCGCATCCTCCTAATAATATTACACTCATGAAGTGGAAGAAAGGCTACTTTGGTCATTTCCTAATTAGAATGAAATTTCGATTCATCCCTTAACCAGCATTCTCTCTCTCATCTCTGTTTCCAGTATTTCTAATACAGTTTCGCATTCCATAGCAGCATTTGATTTCATAATTGCTGTACCATTCTAAATCATACTTTGCCACAAATTATCTCCCGAGACCCTAGACCAAAAGGTAATCTTTTACTTCACAGTACGTAATTCTAACATTTCTCTGAATTATAAATGCTGGTTTTCAAAACAGTAGTAGTATTCATTCTTTGTTAATTTTATGTATTAAGTTCAAATCTCAAACTCTAACCCATAAAGTCCAAATCCTTGATCCTGTGAAGTAGGATGTTGTTAACTTATATGCTCTATTTAGTGATTCATGAATTGTCACTAAAGTGGTCTTACTGACTAATATTCTGTTTATATGAGATCAAGAGCTGAGAATTGTATTCTGAGTTTAGGAATTTGAAGAGGTTGGTGCTGATTTATGCTACATACAAGTATTTTTTGTTACAAGTACCTTTATTAGACGTTTAGACGTTAAAAGCTCCTGCTATGCGTGGGGTTCAGGGAAGAGTCAGTCTTACCCTATATTTTTTCAAGAGTCGTGGAACCCGTGAACTTTGTTTAGATGTTCATGAGTTATAACTTTAATAGAAGTGTCATTCGTCCTGCTGTTAAAGTTCTGTTTTTCTTGGATCAACAACTGAAAATTGAGTTCTGGGTTTCCTTCTCTTCCCATCATTTATGTTTTTTGTCGTTGCTTTAAAGATTTGTTTTTTTTGAAAGAAAGTGATTTTAATCACATGCGGACTAAGCCTGGTATTTAGCCGGAGACGGGTAGAGGGGCAGGGCCCATTATCCCCGAGTTTCGAAGGCTGTAGTTGATCCTAAGGGTTGACCCCAGATAGATTTCTCGGTCGTAAAAAAAAGTGACTTCAACTTGTGAAGGTCCCTTTATGGATTGGATTTTACACTTGTATAATTTGTCTTCCAATTATTGATTGAGACAAAATTTCTTGAGTGTTTATCTTTGTTTTGCTTTAGATATTGTTGGTACATGGAGTCCGAAAGTGGAGTTCCGGTAGAGGTGGAAAAGATTGTAGTGGCTGAAGAAGAAAATGTGGATGTGAAGAAAGAGGAGAACATTAGTGAGAGAGGCCATGAGAACGAAGCTGGTAAGAATGAGGAGAAAGTTGATGAGACACCAACTGAATTGTCTCAGAATGTTCCGAAAAGTAAAGCATCAAATCAACGCAAGGTTTCAATTGTTGGTACTATAAAGAGCAATAAAACGGCTAAGGATCAGGCTAGTGTACAAGGCTCATCTGCATTGACTCGTTCGAAAAAGGGAAGAATGAGTAAAAGTTTGTCCTTCCCTGCAAGAGGTGGCGGTTCTGACCTAACAAGGAAGAGCATCGACGTTCATACAAAGAAATCTGATGTTAAACCTTGGATACCAAATGGAGTAACACATGAACCTTCACATTCGAATGGAACAGTTTCATCAGCTTCTCGTTTAAATCCGGCTACCAAGGGTGCAACTGGAGGTGGTATAACCACCAGAAGAACAACTGTAGGATCTGTCCCGAGTCTTCGTCAATCTCTGGTAAACTGAGGCCCTCATTATCTTTCGCCTTCCCCTTCTTTAAGTTTTATGGAATCTATATCTTACAAATTTCCTTTGCTGTTTTTGCATTAAGTCTGGAAAGTCTGTTTCAGCCAGTAAAATTGCAAAGAAAGCTATATCTGAAGGGTAAGTGAATTTTCCTACTTGCATTTGTTCATAAGTTGGTTTGCTTAATTTAAAACTTTTCGCCTATAATCTTTAGCAGTTTACTGTCGCATTTTGTTTCATTGCCAATGGTTGTTCTGATAGTTGCATTATATGTTTGTATTTGCAGATTAAATGATGAAAACACAAAACCTACTAAAGCTACATCGCCTCTTAAAGACGATGAGGATGCTCGTTCTGCTACTTCCTCGTACTGCTCTTATCTTAGTCTATATTGTTGTTATTCAATTGCTTTCTTGTTTCCATTTGTCCGGTTTATCATTCTCCTCAATTAGGCCAATAATTTAACTTTTTATCTTTTATTTTTTATGTAATCAGCAATACCACTCGTACCAGTACTGGTGGATTTTCCTTCAGGTTGGAAGAACGTGCTGAAAAGCGAAAGGAGGTTTGCAGTATAGCCTTTGTTTCCTATGACTATTATGTCCATATTATCTTATGTGCAGAATATTAGAGCTCAGATTCTTTATTCATCAGTTCTTGGCAAAGATGGAAGAGAGGATACAGGCAAGAGAAGAGGAAAAGAATAACTTGCTAGCAAAATCGAAGGTTAGTTCAAACGATATTGATTTTTCATTACTGAATTTGTCTGATCTAAGCTGTGTGGATTTGGGATTTGATTCAGGAAAACCAAGAGGAAGAGGTAAAGCAATTTAGGAAGAGCTCGACTTTTAAAGCTACACCAATGCCCAACTTCTACAAGGAACCCCCTCCTAAAGTTGAACTGAAGAAGGTAAGGTATTCATTTATTGAGAGAGATTTCAGCTCCTCCAGCATTGTGATTTAATCATGTTCTCCCAATATGACAAAGTTGTCACTTAATTTACTCTACTTGGATCTGCCACTGGCCGCACTATTGTGCTAGAGAAAAAGAGAAGGAGAGGATTTCTCATTGATTTTTTGTGACACACTGGTAATTTATCTTTGAAACTCATTAGACAAGGAAAGGAGCTTTTATTCTCTTTTTGGTGACAAAATGCTTCTAGTTTGAAGCATAAAGTCATTGTTCTGTAGCACGATATGCAATTATCTTTTCTAGGCATTTAAATGAATCTTGTATAAGAAGAATGTATCTAATAGAATTTGTCATCATCATCTACATTTAGAATCAGTCCAGCTTTTGTTTTCAATTGTTTGTCTTATGCAATTCATATTCTCCTTCTTGTTAGCTTTAATTGATGTTGGGTCATTCACTTGCTATTTTTGCATTATATGCTTAAGTTTTGCTAAATTGTATAGATACCAACAACACGCGCCATATCTCCTAAGCTTGGAAGAAATAAGAACTCCATATCCGCAACTAATGGCTCCGAAAGTGGAGGGTCGTCTTTCAGTCCAAAAGTGATCAAGGACCAGAGTAAGTCACCCAGGGCCAGTAAAGATACTGTTGCGTCAAAAGGGAAGCCTGTTGAAATCAAAAAGCCAGTGAAGAATTCGCAGACTACCTCTCAATCTCCAAAAATCTCGACCGCTAAAGGAAAATCTGCTGAAACAAAATTAAAACCTGCTGAAGCAAAGAATTCAGATGAGAAAACAGAAGAAATGGATATTCAACCTGACTCTGACCCTAAGCCTGAAATGAATTCAGTAGAAGACAATGTGGCATGTCCGTCAAATCCAGTCGTCGTACAAGCTGAAGTTACTGTTGAAGGTTAAGGAACTTACTGAAGGTCTCTTCTCCTGTATTTATTTATAGGCCTTTTTGTTCTCTGGAAACTTTGGTGCTTTGTTGAGTTGTGAATATGGTGTGTATCCCGCGGTTACAAGTTGTACATGTTGGTTCTTAGCTGTTTTATTCTTTTCAAAAAATTCAGTACAATGGTGTATCATTTTTTTCTTCTTTCAGTTCATGTGTTAAACTTCTTCATTGTCAAAGCTAGATTCCACACCTCATTTGCTTTTCTTTCAATGTATCATTCTGAACTTTTATGTCTGGTTTTACTGAATGCACAATTTGTTCTCCTGGTTCCAGGATTCATTTATTTATAGCTGTTGTTTTATTTATGGTACATACTCCAATCAAGCGTCAAATCGCAGTGTAAGTAATGTTATTAGGTGTTGTTAGGGGTGATGGTTGCGCTGATCCAACTAAAACTACTCCAAACGAATTTGGGGTCGGTTATATGAGTACTTAGCAACCATGTTTCTTCATTTAAATTGCAAAATAAAAATTAAATAAATTACTAAAAGTTCTTATATTTTCTACTGGCATAAAAGTCTATGAAAAGCGTAAAAAGCTTCTAGAAAACATTGTACCTAAAGTAAACATACTAACATGATTAAAACATATACCCGAGCCTTGACTAATTGGTATCGCTTATGTAGTTTTATTCCATTGTACCATATTTTTTGTTAAGTATATATGCATTTCAAAAATATTATAGGTCTTTCGAGATAACTTCCTTAACGTGATTTTACGTCTACCTCAACCTCCACATATGTAGTTAACAAATTTTCAAATAATATTACAATTACTACTATTAATAAGCGCCAATATGAGGATTCCGGTCGGCGTGAATTTACCGGAAAACCATAGCATTTCAACTTATTCCATATTTGTCCTAATCGGAAAACATTTATTCAATGCGTTTGCGTCTCCAAAGAATATATACATCTCTGTGAAAAAAGTGAGACACATTTAACTTTTTCAGTATCCGGCTATCCGCCTCGGTCTTAATTTGCGAAACTTTGAATTTCTATTTGCCACGTGGCTCTTTTGCTGATTTGGTTTCTCTCACCAACCTATTATAGCAAGAAAGCTGGTAAAATGTAATCTACAGTATATATATATATATATATATTGGCAGTTGGAAGATATCTCCTATTTACATAGAACAGGAGAAGCAAATCAATGTGATGATTCTAAGTGTCACAAAAAAAATTCATTAAGTGTGAAATTTTAGGACAAAATTAGTTAGGTTAGTTGATGATTAGTTACTCTTTTTTAATTTGAATTAAAAATAATTAAATATCTATATGTTTTTTAGAAAACTATTATAAAAGAAGAAAAAATATATAAATGAATACCTTCAATGTCGAGATATATAAAATGGTAAGACTAATTTGTCTTTTGAGATGAGAAAGTTTTTGAATAATAATTCATATGGTCATGCTATATGGATAAGATCATGTAACTAAAAATATTATAATAGATAAAACTAAAGAAAAAAAACTTAAACAATAATTTTAAGAAATAAATAAAATATATAAAGATATATATTTAACTTATTATGTAGTAATTTTATTAAAATATTAGTTTCCTATTAAATACAAACGGGAAGAAGCATTCAATTTAATATAATACAAAAATAATAATTATTAGAATTATTAGTAGATTTATGACATATAATAAAAGGACTTTTCTATTTAACCTTGAACTAATTCAACACCATCCATTTAGAAAAATAATAATAATAATATTCATATTATAGATATATACTAAATGGAAAAAAAATATTGTAGAACAAAAAAACTAATATATAGAAAGGAGAATAGATATAAGGAATTTTTACATTCCTATACACTATATGAAACTATATTACCCTTCCTACTCAAGTTTTACTATAATTACATTTTATATACCTAATTACCATTTATATACATTTTAAGAAAATTAATGATAATAATTAGCATCCTAAAATAACTCTACCGTATCTTCCACTCTCCCCACATTTCTCTCTCCACAATTACATCCCATTCAATGACTTAAGGTCCCGGGCAACTTCATAATATATATT